TCAAACTCTGAAGGACACACAGGGGGAGTCACTATTCCACGTTCAGAGGCCAATGACAATGGTTCTGTTTAAGCAGTCGGTGACTGATGTAAGTCTAGCAGGATATGCTTACATGTAAAATAGTTATATATCGACATGCCAGAAGTTAACTTATGATCATACACCATTCACCTGACTCAGCGTAAGCTGAAATGAGAAAATGCACAGCTGCCTAGCTGAGCACATTAGAGTGTGTACAAGATCCCAGATTCAATCCCTGGCATCTCTAACTGAAAGCATCTCAAACAGTAGGGTTGTGGAAAAAACAACTACTTGAGTCACTGCTGACAATCCTGACTGGAATGATTCAGGACCAGCTCATCTGTAGTATCACATGCAAATGTGAACCACTAAATATTAATCCAACTAGACTCTAGTAAAGTTATAGATCAGGGCCTGAACAGAATATGTGTCCTTCAACACCACTTGCACGATAGCACCTAATGTCTCAGGAATGCTTGGGCTAGAGATGGATGCCAAAACCACCAGCATGTTGCTGCAGTGTACATGTTTTATTGCCTGTGCCCATAGCAGGGTAGTGGTGGTGGGGGTTCATTGGAGGGCACCGGGCACATCATTTGAACCAGAGAGCTCTTACCTGCAGGACAATTGCTGGCACTGAAAAAATCATGGCCTCATTAAACACTGGATTTGTCTCATCTCTCTTTACTGCCGTTTTTTTCTTGCTGATCTTCCTCCCATCTTGCAGCAAATACACTTTGACAAAAGGATCTGAAGGAAGAATAAGGAGATGATCCATATTCCAAAGAAATGGTTTTTGCACCATGCTTATTTTATCTTTGAAACTCTGTCATAGCTTCAGTGGCTGCAATTTCTGCTACTGTGTACCACCTCTGGTTTTTTATTATTATTATTCTGGAGATCAAGGATGAATAGAAAATATGCTGCCACATGACCAAAAAAAAAAAATCACATCATATTCTGATTGTAAAGCATTATAATCAGACTCTTCAGGGTAGAATAGGTTAACTTCTACAAACACACTTGCTGATCAGAACCAGGAGAAATCCAATGAATTAAAATGGGAAATTAACCGATCATTTCCTAATTTCTTCAAAGACAGTAACCTCCTATAGATTTTCAATTTCTGCTAACAGCTATTTAAGTAAGTTGATGTTTAGAGAGACATTCCAAAATATACAATGGCTGTCCTACTATGATCACTTTCTGGAAAAGATCATAGAAACTTGGCAACACATTGCGAGTGTCTCCATCCCTCAACCAATCCCTCTCCATATTTTCTGCCTTGAATCTTATATGATTGGAAAAATCAATTATCTATAATTTAGATTTAGCAAATGTTAAAAGTTAAGGTCACGGAGAGGGGAGATTATTATTATTATTTTATTCTACCTGATGACCGATGTGGGAGGAATGAGATTTTCAGCCACTGTGTTTGTTTCCCTTTGGCCCTACAAACCTGCTTTAGAGAACTGGGGCACAGGGATCACTACACTCCACCCTTTCTACTTTTCAAAGCTTTTACTGAGTGGTTGGAATGAATTTCAGTCTCAGAATCTGGGTAGAAAATGTGGATTATTCACTGCATTTAGAAATAAAGTCATTTGCTACCAGCATACAGAAATCAGAATTCTTCCACTCATCCTAAGGATTTTGTGACATAACAATTTAGTAGAGCTTATCATAGTTTTACACTGATCAATACTTCTATAATATAGAGAATACATTACAGACATTAGTATGTATATCACTTTTTCCTCTCCCTGGATTTGTAGCAGAACTAAATTAATCCTTAAAGAAAATATGATAAAATAGATCGCGGTACATTATTATTCCAACTCTTCTACTCAACTTGCAAGAGAACAAGATTGCACTCTCAACCATTGCTGACCCATTCACTGAATGCTGTGGCATCATGTTTATAATTTATCCAGCACTGGGGAAGGGGGTGGACGAAGGGACAAAAGGGATCCTACTGACCTGCAGTCATTTTTCCATTAGTCCACACAAGATTCTTGGCTTTAACCACAACTACAGTCAATCGCTCTGCTGTGGGTAAATAGCTAAGACACAGCAGGATTTCACCCACCGAATCAGTTGCCTATAAATAAAAAGGATGGGGAACATTCATCATTCAATATTCTACAAGCCTTGCATAGGAACTAATGGCATAATCTATTTTCTTCTCTCCCGAGTGCGAGCAAGGGGAATACATTAGAATGCCACTAGGAAAGGTGCCCTAAAAACTGAAGTTTGGTATTCGGATAACCTAGAGCAGGGGTCCCCATCCTGTGGGCCATGGCCTATTATCGGTTCATGGTCTATTCGTAACCGGACCGTGTGAGTGGCTGGCTGGTGGGTATGCATAGCCCACTCGCACGTCATGGGTGCATGGGGGCTCTTGTGCGAGCGTCACTGGGGCTTGTGGCCTCACTCGCGTGAGTATCACAGAGGCTCGTGGCCTCACTCACGCGAGTGTCACGGGGGCTCATGGCCCCACTTGCACAAGCATTTGGGGCCTCATTTGTGCAAGCCTCATGGGTGCTCTCGACCCCACTTGCGTGAACAATGGATGCTCCTGCATGCGTACACACACACACATGGCTTCCCCTCCCACTAACCCAGTGATGGCGAACCTTTTAGAGACCGAGTGCCCAAACTGCAACCCAAAACCCACTTATGCATCGTCGGGTGTCGGGTGGGTGTGACCCATTGGGTGGGCGTGGCTTCGGTGGTAACGGCAGACTGGGTAGGACTTTTCTTTCCCCACGAGAAGTTGAAATTGATTGATTGAACCTTTTTTTTATTTTGCACATGGCGGCGGAGGCCTAAAGCAAAAAGGTTTTATAAAACCCAGCTGAAGGCCTAGGACTGGGGCGATGGCGCACGTGCCCACAGAGAGGGCTTTGAGTGCCACCTCTGGCACCCGTGCCATAGGTTCGCCACCACTGCACTAAACCATCTCCTCTTTCTCCCCCCCCCTCTGGGCCATCAACCTGGGAAGATTGTGGAGCATTACCAAGAGGCTGAAGAAGCTCCCCTAAATACTTTAGTTTCATTTAGTCCTTAGAAATCTATTTTGCCCAGTCCTCCTGCAACTACAGCCTCAACCAAGGAGGTCACAAGTGAGAAGGATAGCTTTTGTCTGACTAACAGCACGGAGATTTTCCTCCATTGCTCTTGGGACCACTGACTCATTTTAGAGAGCAATAATGACAGAACTGGAGGCTCGGAGATTCTTGCCTGAAGGAAGGCATGGCATATTGAGATACAGCCAAGTTATTTTGGCTCCTGAGATAGGAAAATCTTGCAAGGGCCTTTTCCCTTTCATGACAGTACAATAGTAACAAAACCAGCAAGTGATAGGCCTAACTTTCTGGACTCCAAATCTGTGTGCAGTAATAGGATGAACCTTATTCATGTCCTGCAGATAAAGCCAGGCGTTGAAAGGCCGGACAAAGATACCCAAATCGGACAACTTCAGCTCAGCCACACCAGTACTGATATTTCTCTCATCCTCATCAATGCCAAAAACAGAGAATCTCAAGCTGTTTTCCTCCAACATAGAAGGATCCAAGGGAATGGAAAACTTCTCATCAAAGAAGACGGAGTAAGCACTTCTTTGGATCTGTATAGAGAAAGAGGATGCAGTAGAAGAGGTTTAAAAATATTCAAGTTAAAAAAGCCATCCCTGGCAAGGGAGATGAAGCTGTCACTCTTTTTAAAGAGAAGATTATAGTTTATAGTAGCAATAGCAATAGCGTTTAGACCAGTGGTTCTCAACCTTTTTAATGCCGCGACCCCAACCGGTCGTAAGTTGAGGACTAAACCGGTCGTAAGTCGAGGACTAAACCGGTTGTAAGTCGAGGACTAAACCGGTCGTAAGTTGAGGACTACCCAACCGGTCGTAAGTCAAGGACTTTTCCTGCCCGGGAGCGCCACGCATGCGTGGTTCCGCCCCCTGCGCCGGCCGAGGCGTAGCTGGCAAGCGGCAGAGACGGAGCAGGCCGACCACCAGCTGGCCCAGCCCAAGGGAGGTAAGGCACCCGCCAGAAAAGGGGGAAAAAAATGGCGGACAGCCTTGCTTGGTGACCCCCGTGAAATGGTCGATCGACCCCAAATGGGGTCCCGACCCACAGGTTGAGAACCACTGGTTTAGACTTTTATACCACTTCACAATGCTTTATAGCACTCTCTAAGCAATTTGCAGCGTCAGCCTATGGCCTCCAGCAATCTGGGTCCTCATTTTATCAACCTCAGAAGGATGGAAGGCTGAGTTAACCTTGAGCCGGTGAGATTTGAACTGCCGAATTACAGCCAGCTGGCAGTCAGCAGAAGTAGCCTGCAGTACTGCATTCGAACCACTGAGTCACCACGAATATTATTAGTAGCCACTTAATAGATCAGAAAACCTAAATAAATTTGAGCTACCCAAAACCATAACTGACAATATGTAAAGGATGTTTTCTCTTATTTTGCTTCTTCTTCCCTGACCTGAAGAATCCCCCAAAGAGACCTTTAATAACAAAAGTCACAAATGGCACTGGCAGAAATCTATAGAGACACGAGAGATTAGCCATTATTTTGCAGGGACTGTTCCTTATCCCAACGAAGAGCAATGATACAATTATTAAAACAAGTCAACAAATCTGAACAGTGTAAGGATCCCCTGATTCTAAATTGCAAGTTTTCCACAGTGCACTGCAAATTGCTCTATAGCAGAGGTCCCTATTTTGGGCACCAGGGACCGGTTCCTTGGAGAAAGGTTTTTCGGTGGACTGGAGGGGGTCTGGTTTTGGGTGCTGCCTGCATCCCGCAGATGGGGCTTTGCTTGTTTGTGCGGACTGGTTGCTGGCATGCTGTGACCCGGTACTGGTCCACAGACTAGGGGTTGGAGACCCTGCTCTATAGGACAGTTAAATCCTGATCTAATGAGAAACATGCTATTGCAGAATGAGGGGAGAGAGGGAAATCACAGTCCATTTTGCAGCAACAGCAAATTTCGACTGCTCTTCAAATACAGCACGGCCTGCGAAAAGTCCCAAGGAGTGCTTAAAGAGAAAACAAGGCAGAAGACACTGAATCAGGACTCCTGAAGTGGGGTAAAACGAAAGATCTATACACAGCTACATATAACATATGTAGCAATGTGAATGCTACAGAGATCGCAGTTGCTAGAGGCCAGCAAAAGACAGAAACCTCAGCTCTCAGAAATGCTAAGGTCCTGGATTGGAAAAGGTTCAGTGGGGATTTACTGTTGCAAGGCTTTCAAACGGCTTGAGGCCAGGTTATTTGAAGGACCATCTTTTCCCAATTATATCTATTCAACCACCAGATCAGGGAGGCAGGGTAAGGCGGTCCATCCAGTGTAACGTAGAAAAAGGGTCTTCCCCATGGTGGCTCACCCCAGGGGACATCATCCCTGCAAAGATAAGATTGGCCCCCACCTTGAAACTCCTTTGAAAAGCTCTGAAGACATGGGTTTGCCGACAGACCTGGGACCCCAGGGTGATATGGAGCCCAACAAATGGTTTGATTGTTGTCACTTGGAGGATGGAGGTTAATAATGATGATGATGATGATGATACACAATCTTGCTAGCACATGTCAAAGCCTAATACTCCGATTCTCCTAAAGATGGCCATTGTGTTCTTCCTTGTTCCTATTTTGCCCCTGTAATTATCCAGAGAAGCTGAAAGCTTGGCTAAGATGAAGAGGTGAGTTTTGTGACCTGAACCACATTTCCTTAGTCTGTTCTATCTACCACATCACAATGGCTCTTATTGTGTTTTGTCTATTCAGATTGCAGTATTTGGATGATATTGTTGGCTCTACTTTACATGTTACCCCGCATTATAGGATGAACCTCAGAATTTAAGCAAGAAAAGACCTTCAGTCATTTTCCTCTGGGGTCTATGTCTCTGTTTCCATCTGCTGGAAACCCTACTTAGGTATTGTGATCCATGCTAATTACTTTTGTAACTGCTTGCTGCTTCTCTGACATCTGGCCCCATACTGACAGATCTTGGTTTATAGCCGCTACCTGTTGCCAGCACCACCCCTTTCTATTAATCCAGAAGCATTTTCCAGTCCTGGGTCAGAGGGTTAGAGAAAATTCCCTACTTTTGGCTTAGGCATTGTGCATAATCCACAGCACTGACTCCTGTCTATGTTTCCTCTGTAAATAATGTGCTGTGTACTTTTTGCCAGTTATAGCATTTTCCTTACACTCCCTTTCCAAACTGTTTGCCTTAAATCAGTCATGATTCCGTTATTTAAGCAGTAATAGCTCCCCAAATTAAAAATTTTATATCAGTGAGTGGCTAGAGGACGCACAGCCCAACATTATCTTCAGGGAAATACTACACAAAAGGTCATTAAAGCTGTCATAATGCAGTCAACAGTCTGGAGCAGTTCATAAGATTAATTTCCTTCAAGGATAGCCCCCTAGGATCTCTCCTGATATAACCTGGAAGAGCCTATGTAGATATGACACTTGTCATACAGCCTGGCTTTGCACAATTTAAAAATAGCAAGAAGAAATTGTTGTGTACACATGCACAGGTGTGATCGGTATCAGGGTTCTAAGTAATTGAGGGTCTGTTACCTAAAAATGGAGCTCTTCCCTTCCCTCTTGACAACCCTGCTAAGTAGACCAGATCAGGTAAACAACTGAATGGTGGTGAATGCTCCAACACTGGAAGTTTTTAAGAAGAGACTGGACAGCTGTTTGTCTGAAATGGTATAGGGTTTCCTGCCTGGGCAGGGGGTTGGACTCGATGACCTCCAAGGTCCCTTCCAACTTTTTTATTATTATTATTATTATTATTATTATTATTATTATTATTATTATTATTATTATTATTATTATTATTATTATTATTATTATTATTATTATTATTATTATCTTTGCAGGAAAGTTAAATCAGGTTAAAGCTGAGTATAGCCTGCCTATGCCATACCTCCTCCTCCTCCTCCATCTTACAGTTCACTGAATTAGGGAGGTACGTTTGTCTCAGCCACTTTGAAATGTTCACAGTTCTAGATTTCAAAAATGCTTGAGTCTCTTTTGAAATAGAAACATATAGAAAACTCACAGCAGAAAAAGACCTAGTGGTCCATCAAGTCTGCCGTTTGAGGATTTTGATTCACTGTCGCTGCAGGAAATTGGTTCCAAGCTTCCAATATTCTTTCTGTGAAGTAATATTTTCTAACATTACTTTTGAACATCCCTCCTGTCAGTTTGAACCATGTTGGTGCAGTGGTCAGAATGCAGTATTGCAGGCTAATTCTGCTGACTGCCGGCTGACTGCAGTTCGATCCTGACTGGCTCAAGGTTGACTCAGTCTTCCATCCTTCTGAGGTTGGTAAAATGAGGACCCTGATTATTAGGGCAATATGCTGAGTCTGTAAACAGCTTAGAGAGGGCTATAAAGCACTGTGAAACGGTATATAAGTCTAAGTGCTATTGTTATTGTGGTCATGTCCCCATTTTCTTGATTTTTGCTTAATATTGAAAATAGTTCCTTCGAGAATCTTATATTCACACTCTTAATATTTAAGGTTTCAGTCATGTTCCCCCTTTCCCTTCAAAGTCCTCCAAGCTATACATGTTCGGTTCCTTCAATCTTTCCTGATACGTTTTGTCTCTCAGAACTTGCACCATTTTTGTTGCCCGTCTTTGGACTCGCTCAATCTTAACAATCTTATTTTTTAGGGATGACCCATAGAATAGAACAGAACAGAACAGAACAGAACAGAAGCTGGAAGGAACCTTGTAGGTTTTCTAGTCCAGCCCCCTGCTCAAGCAGGAGAACCTAATCTCTCCAGGTATCTTTTTTTTTTTTACACAAGGAAAAAGGACCAGTGATGAGTAGTTCCTCTCTGCATTATTTCCCCAAATTAAATCATCTTCAATCTTTGTATTAACTACAGAGGAGGAAAATGTCAGGCATAATACAACAGGGACATATTAAATATAAATGAGCAAGTGCAGTCATTGGTATTTCGCTAGCCCCAGAGGGCCCCGCTGCTGTTTCTCAAAAAAAGTCAGGGCATATTGCAGAGGTATCCTTCTTATTTAGCTTCTCCTACTCTAAGGAAAAGGGCCTGTATACACGGATGGGGAACTTTCTGCTACATTCCTGGATCCTAGCTCAGGAACTGCCTGGAATAGCAATTAATGCTTGACTGTGGAGACCCAGGTTCAACACCCTGTGTCAGCATGAAATCCACTAGGTGTTATCTGCCCTTGTAGGGAACATGGGCTGAATAAAAGATGGAGAGTCCTGAATGGAATTAGAGCTACTTGGGAGAAAAGATGGGACTAAATGTTACAAATAGAACACAATAAATTTCAACAAAATCAGAACCACCTATTATTAGAAACTGTAAGCACCTCTTAGACAAAGAGGCAGCTCTCTTTTACTCTCATCTGAAAGATAGGAAGACTTCATTTCTATTTATTTGCTGCAATTAACATCAGTCACAACACTCTAAGTAAGGGAATTTAGATTAAAATGAGGTGCTTCTTTTGGCCTGTGCCTGAAACCGCATGGGCAAAATGAACCTTCCTCCTGCTCCCCTGGCTGGTCCTCTCCCTCCCCAGGCCTGGGTGTGTGGGAGGTT